TATTTTGCTTTCCAAAGTCTTGACAAATTTTAAGTAAATAGCAAGTTTGCCTGATCTCTGGGACCTAGAACCTGGAATCTGCCAAAGCCCCGTTGAAATATCCTCCCTCTAGGCCCAGGGACTATCGTGGAAGAGGGGTTGTGTGAGATTGTAAGGGCCGATTCTGAGGGATGGACTTAGTTTAGACTTTCCAGATCAAGGAGGGACACACAGAAGCCTAAAGGGACACTAACTGAAATACTTCGTCTTTTTAAACCACATGCTGCAGACATCCATCCCAATTGTAAAATATGTTTTCCTGCTTCCTATAGACTTACAGCTTCCTGAGTATAATTTTTCTCAGTTATGGATTTATACAAAAGGAAATATAATGAGTAATTTATCAGCCACCATAGTATAAATTATTAAAGAGACTAAAATATTATGACACAATAAATTCCCTTAGTTTAAATCCCTTAGTCTCTAAATTCCCTTAGCTTAAATATTAATGATGCTTATATTTGCTACAAGTCTACCACTAAGCTCAAGAATATAGTAGCTAAACACTTACAGTTAATTAGTTTTGTAGCCTTGCCTTTGACATTTTGGATTTTACTCTTATGTCACCTAGCAGATTTTATTTTAATTTTTATTTTATTTAATTTATTTATTTTTGAAACAAGAGTCTCACTCTCTTGCCCAGGCTAGAGTGCCGTGGCATCAGCCTAGCTCACAGTAACCTCAAACTCCTGGGCTCAAGCAATCCTTCTGCCTCAGCCTCCCAAGTAGCTGGGACTACACGCATGCACCACCATGCCAGGATAATTTTTTCTATATTTTTAGTTGGCCAATTAATTTCTTTCTATTTTTAGTAGAGACGGGGGTCTCGCTGTTGCTCAGGCTGGTTTCGAACGCCTGACCTGGAGCGATCCTCCTGCCTCGGCCTCCCAGAGTGCTAGGATTACAGGTGTCCACACTCAGCCTCACCTAGCAGATTTTAAAGTGTTGATGAATTCCTGTCCTCCTCCAGTCCTGTTTGGCCTAAAATATTTAATTGGCTGTAAGCCCCCTTTCAGCTCTTCAGTCCTCTTGGCCACAAGGGTCCCACCGAGGACTGGATGGACCCAGGGCAGGTAATCACACCACCCTGGTAACCATCAGGACAAAATAAAAGTTTGGCCATAGATGCTGCCTCTGACATATCTTGGCCACAGGGGGTAATTGTGAATTAAAATACAATTTTAAGGCTCACCCCTCCACACACGGGCTGACTGAATGGACCTCCTGGTGGCCAAAGGAATATCCTAAAACTAAATTGCCTGCCAGGAGGAGGGAGGTCAGACATGCCTCTTCATGCCCTCCTCCCTTCCTGGGGACATCTTTTGTAACCCTGTTAATACAGGCCTAAGGGTAGGCAAGACAAACCTGCAGGTCCTCAATTTACACAACAAATATATGTCTGGTAGCTTATGTCTGATAAACAACTCCTAGGTTAAAACATTCCCTTTAGACAAAGCTTCATGTCTTTAACCAGTTACGTGCCAAAGAGTCTTTAAACCCACCTATAACCTGTAAGCACCCCCCCCTTCAAGATGACCCACCTTTTCTGGCCAAACCAATGTATACCTCCCACATACTGATTTATGACTTTACCTGTAACCCCTGTCTCCCAGAAATGTATGAAACCAAACCGTAACCCAGCCACGGCCAGTCCACTTGCTCAAGGCTTCTTGGGTGTGGCTCCGGGTCATGGTCCTCAAATCTGGCTCAGAGTAAATCTCTGTAAAATTATTTTACAGAGTTTGGCTTTTTTTTTTTTTTCCTGTGCTGCCACCCAGCACAGGCACACAGGCCTGGTCTGTCAGGTGGCCAGACCTCCTGCTTGGTGCCAGGCCAGCGTGGGATGCCTGAGCGGGCAAAGAGTACCCTGCAAACAACGAGGGAGGGAACCGAGGAGATGGCCCTCAGAGGTCAGTGGAAACCCAGGCATTCAAGATGGCCTTGAAGGCACATAGCACTTGAGGGCTGTGTGTGTGTGTGTGTGTGTGTGTGTGTGTGTGTGTGTGTGTGTATGCATGTTTGGAGGTGAGGGGGGATGTTACTGGCAGAGGGGACATATAAGCAACCTCTATGAAGTTCTAGGACCTTCCTATATTCCTGTACTACCATGCTGCTCAACCTGCCTGTGTGGCCCATCAGAATGTTCTACTGAATGGGAAAACCAATGTGCAATCAGGAGAGACTCTCAAAGGACATTTCCAGCTGTGGCATTCAGACGTCCATAAAGCTTATTCCTTGAAAGGGAATCTTTCTCAATAGCCCAGGAATAAACATTAATGATTGAAAAGTGCCTGCATGTAGAAACTAAATGAATCCCATAAGAGGTAGCAAAATGGCATGATTAAGAGCATGGGCTCTGGAGACGGCCCACCTAGGTGCCAATCCCAGCTCTGCCACACACAAGTTGAGTGCCCTAGGGCAAGCTACTTAACCCCTTCCTGCCTCAGTTTCCCCATCTATATAATGGGGATAATTACCTTTAGCTCACAGAGTTGTGAAGACGAATGGCTTGACATTTGTGAAGTGTTTAGAACAATGTCTGGCACATAGCAAGTGTTGTGTGAGTGTTAAAAAAAGTTCTTATCCTGTTGGGCCTACAAATGGTGCTTTTGTCGGGGGTCTTTATGACATACTTTTGAAGACGATGAGAAGCCAGCCTTCTTAGCGCCACTAAACATTGAGACACACAGACAGTCCTCACTTTGCTTGGTAGTGCAGGACTATAAAAATGACAGTGGGGTCTAAAACTGTGCAAAACAGACTTAAAAATCAGGAGAAAAATTATGAGTGTTCCACTTTAAATTCTTTTTGCCAAAGCATTAAAAACTCTCTTACAGTAGGTTATAAATGTACAGGGAAACAAAAAAAATAGTAAAACAAATATTTTAGTACACAGTAATTTAAAGCACTAAAAATAGTGTAGATTTTAAAGTGTTTTCTTTCTTTGTAAAAAAAAAAAAACAGACTTACCAAGAGTATTTGAACAGTTCTTGCCGTCTGCTATTTGTGTAATGCATGATACTGAGAGAACATCTTTTCCATGCCTTGGTGAATTGTCATTTCCTTTACAAATTTGCATCAGCTTGCAACATCTTATACTTTGTGCCTTCCATGTTGTGAAATATCTCTGAAAGTTCCTTTAATGTGAAATTTTTTTGATGGCATCATTTTCTCTGAGACATCGACATCGTCTTCATTGCAACCACTTTCCTCATTTGTGCTTTGAATCATGGTTTCAGGTTTCCTCAACAGAAATAGAAACTTCTGACTGTCAGAAAGTCACATAGAGCTTACTCAGAATGATGTAAAATTCCATTCTGGAAATTTAAAAAAATCTAAAAAACAAATCTCAACTTGTTCCAAGTAGCTACTCATTAACAAAGGAACCTGATGCTAACAGACACAATGCTGGCTTTTTCATCTCAACTTATATATATATATTTAAAAAAACCAGCAGCAACAACAACAACAACAAAAGTCTCAACACAAGCACAGACATTTTCAGTTTGCACTTCTGTGTTACTTGTTATTTAAATTATGGAATAATACAAGTGATGGAACAACTGGACGAATTCAACTGTATTATGAAATGTCTGTGGTTGGCCAGAAATCAGCCTTTGATTAGATGTTTAAGATCTCATACAGATCAGGGGAGAAATATAATTACATATTCCCTAAGAATATGGTGAAAGTTATGGTCTATCTCCCCTCAAAAGTGCACACGAGCCAATATAACAATTTATGCAGCATTTCAGGGAATTCACAGAGCTCCTGAAATCCATTTAGAAGCCCTGGCTATGATTCTAGAATTTTATTCCTGGGTGAAACCCAGCCAAAGTCTGTTTCAAAGCCATTGCAAGTCCCGAAAACTTCAGGCACTTTCTAAGAAAAGGCAAACCTTGGGGCATGTCACCTGCCACCAGAAAATGCATTTGATGGTGACTTTTTCCTCACTATACAAGTTTGTTCAACCTAGACCTCTTCGGCTACAAACTACCATCCCTGAAACTCTCTTCTGAGACTAAAGGGGTTGCAAAATGTGGCTGAACAGACAGACTCAATAGCATGTTATTGAAAAAACACAGCAGAACCAGCAAATCCAACTGAACATTGTCTCACAGGATGTTGGCCAATTTGGGGATGAGGTTGCTGAGTGGCACCTGGGCCTATTGCAGGTGGCATTCTCTGCCTGTTCTTCTCTTCTTCCCGCCCCATTCCTTTTCCTTCTCCCCTCCCTTTATTCTTCCTCTCCTATTTTTTTTTTTTTCCTACTACTTCTGACATCGCCCCCATGGACACTACTTAATCCAGCCTGTGGTGCAAAAGATTTTAGATCCTCATTAAACCCTCTAGAGAAATCCCTGAGAGACTTACTTTAAATGCAATAGACAACCTAATGGGAGGCTCGGAGAACACCTGAACAATGCCCCAGAAATGTGTTCTTGTTGTAGAAACTTACCATTCCAGGGAGGTAGTTTTGACCAAGGAAGGGGGTTGGAGGATTGCTTGTTTTTTTTCATTTTTTTGTTTCTGTTTTAAATTGATTTGGCTTCAAGGGGATAAGATGGTCTAAACAAAACCTGCTGATGAAGTCATGGAACAACTCCACCTCTGGAATGAGCTTTATTTTCTTGTATTTTGTTAAGAAATTTGGCTCTCAACTGGGAATGCACGTCACTCTACCCCCTCAAGGGCAGGATGATAAGGGACCTATCAGACCAGGCCCCCAAATGAATCTGAGACTCTATCAAGGTCAGCAATGCTGTAATTCAAGCCAAAAGATCTTCCTTGAGCTTGCTTGTTTTGACTTGTAACCACAAATTTATCTTGTCTAAGTGTCCGATCACATTATAAAAAGATGTGTGAACCCGTACAGTACAGGCACCCTCTTGAAGCAACGGGAGTCATAGATGAACCTCTTGGAGGATTCTCTAATTTTTCTGCCCCTTTGATTTCCACAGGACTCTAAATTGCTTCCTCTGAGGTCAAGGAACACAAGATGGTTTTGGAGATGCTGAACCCAATGCATTATAACATCACCAGCATGGTGCCTGAAGTCATGCCTGTTGCCACCATGCCAATCCTGCTGCTCACCGGCCTCCTTCTCTTGGTTTGGAATTATGAGGACACATCCTCAATACCAGGTAAGCCATTCATTTACTTCTGCATCTAAGGAGATTGCTTCCTCGGGCTTTTGGTCCATGATGCTAAAGAAAATTTTACAAAAGGGAAAAGGGGAAACCTGGAAAGGTCTCTGAAGACCATGGCCATGTTAGCAAGTGAGGACTCAGGTGAAAACTTTTAGACCAATTATCTGCACCCTGCTTTTGGGAAAGTAGACTTGGCACGAGTCCCCTTGAAAACAAGCTTGAGATGGGGTGGAACAAGGTAAAATTCTGGGTTTTTGTTGTTGCTGTTGTTAGTTTTCTTCAAATTCATTCCAGTTTTGCTCTGAAGGTGAAAATGTCTCTGGAATGCCTTCTCTACTTCTTTCCTTCTCCCTCCCACTTCACCTCACCTGCGGCCCTGCCCTGTCTTGTATTTATCTCTTCTATTCATCCCACTCTTCCTCTCCTCTTACTCTTGGCCATGTGGTAGTATTGGTGGTCCCACCAGAAGGGCTGACTGGGACCCCGGCAGTGGGAGATGAGTGGGGACCACAGTGCTGTCCTTGAAACGTCACACCCTGATAGAATCTCCAGCAGGGTCTGTGGGTCCATCAAAAGTAGGGAATGATATAATTATCCAGATAATTCCAATGGAAAAACCCCACTGTTCCACACTGCTAAAGCTGGAATGATCAGGTATCAGATTAATTCAGAAGCATTAGAAATTTCAGACTGGTGCTTTAGTTTTCAGTGCACATTTCTCCCGGCGGGCATCTGCTCCCAATTCCATAAGATCCCCGATGAGGTTTAGTTCCCAGAGCATAGTTGCTACACGCTTGTAAGTGCAGTGGGTCTCGTCTCAGTGTGGCCGAGAGAGTGGGAGCGTGGGGCTGGTACAAAATGCTCTGTGTCTGGATTCTTTTTAAAATTTTCCAGATAATTGCCTGTCTCTCAGTCTGATTCAGCCTGGTATTTTAGATTGCTTTAATGCCCACTTTAGCGGAACATTTAGTTAATCTTGTTCTCTGCTCCCTTGACAGGGTCATCTCCCGAGAAGGGAGGCTCAGAGCTGAGGGATGCCTCTGCCCTGGTCTTTAACTTGAACTCCCTCCACCAGGGCTGCCTCCTCCTCCCGTATATATAAAAGCATATATACTTGTAGTATAGATAAGAATCCCCCAGGAGGTAGAAGCATGTTAAAATATCAGATTCCTGGGTCCTGCCCCAGACTTTTTGAAACAGACTCTCCTGGCCTAGAAATATACACTTTTAACAAATTTCCCCAGATGCTCACGCTGCACCCAGTGGTGGGATTTTTCCTTGCACCCCTGAGCGAAGAGGTCAGCCTGGCTTTCCTGAAGCTCCAGATCAGGAGTCCAGACAGCACCTCACTCTGTCCCCCACGCCTGGGCTGAGGACTTCATGCTGTCACGCACTGACAGTCACATCACATAGTACAGTGATTGTCAGCCCTGTCTGAGGTAGGGCCGCCAGGTTGATATTTTTTTTCGAACCTCCCCAGGTGATCTTTCATGAGCAGGCAAGGCTGAGAGCCACAGATCTGAGCCTGGCCCGTCATCTGCTAGAAGGGGAAGCCGGGACTCAGAGAGGCGATCTGCTTGGCTCAGGCAAAGCATTATGGCCAGCCTGAGAAGCCACTGGAGTTCAAACTCCTCATCGCACAAGGGAAGGGCTGAAGCCCAGAGAAGGGAGCTGGCTTGTCAGCTTCCCAGCTAGAAGGGAAGTGGGAATGCAGGGGGACACCAGGAAGCCCTAAAGCCCGAGGTGATCACTCTGCTAGCCAAGGAGTTTCTAGTCTCATGCTTTCCCTTTGAAAGCATAAGGTCTGCTTAGAATCCTCTAGGGCACAGACTGGTGAGGTCCCTTGCTTATGGGTTGGGAGTGGGAAGATGAGAAAATTGGCCTTATTAGGGTGGTTCTTTTTTTTTGAGACAGAGTCTCAGTCTGTTGCCCGGGCTAGATGGAATGCCATGACGTCAGCCTAGCTCACAGCAACCTCAAACTCCTGGGCTCAAGCGATCCTCCTGCCTCAGCCTCCTGAGTAGCTGGGACTACAGGCATGCGCTGCCATGCCCGGCTAATTTTTTTTCTATGTATTTTTAGTTGGCCAATTAATTTCTTTCTGTTTTTAATAGAGACGGGGTCTTGCTCTTGCTCAGGCTGGTCTCGAACTCCTGACCTTGAGTGATCCACCTGCCTCGGCCTCCCAGAGTGTCAGGATTACAGGCGTGAGCCAACTCGCCCAGCCTGGGGTGGTTCTTGATCAGCAAGACTCCGGAACTCCCGCAGGCCCCCTTCAATCAATGGCTTTCTGGGCTCTTGCTGTTAGAGGTTTAGGGGGGAAGCTCAAGGTCAGTGGAAGCCAAAGGGAGTGGAGAAGGTGTAATGATGAAAAGCCCTTAAGTACATTACAGTTTACAAAGTGGTTTTGGTGCCCATTGTCTCCGGGGAGGCTAGTGTATTTATGCCTATTTCGTAGGTGAAGAAACTGAGGCTCTAAGCGGGTAGATGTCGTGCAGCTGCTAGTAAGTGAGGAAACCGGGCTCACGTCCAGGCTTCTTGAATCCACATTCTCTGAGAAGCTCTGCTGTGTCCAGTGCTTAGGGGGGCGGGGGTGGAGGGGCTATGCAAAGATGAAAGAGATGTGTCTGCCCTGGGGGGATTACATCAAAGTGGCAAAGACATCACAGGCAGGGGCACTCATAGGCAGATGACTTAGTGCCAGGGAGGGGGGGGCTCTGAAAGTCGAGGGGAGGGAAGAGTCATTCCCACGGGGTTTTTGTCCAGGACTCCCGGTGGCCTGACACCTGGCAGCCCTCCCTTCTTCAAGGACACACCGCCACCCCCAACCTTGAATGGGGGGCGCTCCTCTCCCTCCAGGTGCTGCACTCTGCCCTGGCTGCCACCTCCCCAGAGGAGGGCACCGGGAAGAGGCCATGGCAACACGTTCCTCCTTCTTCCCATTAGGAAAATATTCCAGAGAAAAGCAGTGTGATGAAAAATTTGCTATCACAGTCCGCCTGGCACGAGACATAGGATGTTAGCCACATTCTAGAAACTCTGCGTGTGCCTTTTCAATCACTACACCTTCCTGGATTTCGTGACTGTCACTCCCTGCTTTTTTATAGTTTTGCCACCTAATTTCACATCCCCAGACGATATAGGTTAATTTTGCCTGGTTTTAAACGTTTTTGCAATCAAATCATGTGTTATTTATTCTATCTTGCTTCTTTGACTCAATATTATGTGTCTAAGATTCATCCACATGGTGGCATGCAGTTATAGTTCATTTTCATTGCCATGTGGTAGGTATCGAGCTACATGAACACCTCATGGTATAAATGCCAATTCTTCTATTGATAGACATTTGGGGCGTCTCCGGTTTGGGGCTATCATGAACAAGACCGCTGCGAACGTATGTGTGCGCAGGTTTTTCCAGGACAGCTGGTGACAGGTCCCAGATGTTGGCTCCAAGGAAGCTGTTTCCACACAAAAATGCAGTGAAGTATTTACCGCTTCTCTTAGGCTCAGCAATCAATCATTGCATGACTAGATAAACATTCCCTAATCTGCGAAGCAAAGAGCAGCTTAATGTGGATGCAACCAGAATATTCCCCTAATATTTTACCAAAGTGTCTAGAGTATTCTTCTCTCCAGCTAGGGGGTATTAGATATACATGTAAATGAAAAGATTACATTGTGTTAGAATGATTCGATTTTGTCAGTTTTTTCAGATACTCTCCTGCCCTGAGAACTCTGACAGGGGTGGGGGTGGGGGGGAGACCTCATTATACTTATCATAACATTTCCAGTCACTAACTTGAAATTCGTGTCTACAACTAGTAGGACCTCAGTGTTTGTTGGATGAATTAAACTGACGTATAATTGATTATTAAGGACCCCAAACTCTGATTTTCTTCTGATTAGAACACCCAGGTTCTCATTCTAAGCACAGGGTTCATCATGATCTCCCCTTTTCAGTGGATTTCAGCTCTCTTCTTTTATATTTTAAATTTGAATAGTGGCTCCCAAATATTAAGATTTTCTACCTGGCACCAAACTTTTAGATAAAAGCTAAAAAGTGCAATTTTTTATCTATATGTCTTTGTTTCTTATAAGACTGGCATATTAAGTAAGTAAATATTTATTGAATTAATCTATTCCCAAATAACTAGATACTTGACCTCATGTGGATCAAATGTATGTTTTATGATATTTTCCAATTTTTTTTATCAAAGTGTAAATACAACCTAAAATACCCTAAATGAGGATGGCATTTAAAACTTCATCCTATGTATTGTAGGCACAAGCCTAATTAATTTTTAAAATTCATTCAGGAAACATTTGACAAGAATCTACAATGTGCCAAGCTATAAATATCCAGTGAAGTATTTTATTATGCATATTTTAATTGATTAAAGGTTAGAATATCTGATGACATTTTAAGGAACTACGTATTCAATCAAATCTGCTTGTGTAAATCTTTAAAAGAACTTAATGGAATTATTTTACTATAATGTCAGTCATCTACTGGATAATGTAGTGCTTTTTAAAATAATTACAAGCTTAATAACCCTTTGACAGTAATTTGGTTCTATAGATATTAATAAAGATCTTCGCTTTAAAGAGAAAAAAGAGCTAGTAGTCTTGTTCATATTAACTCAGCTATTGCAAAGAAAAAGACTAAACATTGTTTGCTGCTTTGGGGACTAAACATCTAGTTCAGATGATCCAAGCAAAAATTTACACTCTCTAATTACACAACTCTTCCCCTGAGAGTGAGAATTCTGTCTCACATGGTTAGGTGTGTTTTGGCTTCAGAACTATTTCACTGACAGAATGGAATCGAAGGTGACAGATTCAGTATAACTATACTACTTTATAATATAATTCCTAAAACCATTCCAAAACATTTTCATCTAAATTTTTACCACCACCAGTAAAATCAAGCTACCAAGTGTGTTCTCTGATGCAAACAGCACCAAATTCCCCGGTTGTTCCCTGGACTCGTGTTCTTTACAAATTCTGCCATCCTATACATCAGCAGTGACACGAGCAGCCACTGCTCTTGGCTAAAACCAGATCACGGGACTCTAGTCCAGACACTGAGCAGACTCATTGCCTAACTCCTCAATTCTTAGCTTTATTTTGTTTAATGAGATTTAGCTTAAGAGTTGTTTTTATTTATTTTTTTTCTTAAACTGAGTTCTTTTTAAGAGAAAAGGAGAAATGGATGTTCTGAGTTTAGAGGATTCCTCTAAAACTACAGCCTATAGTTCTAACTCACCCATTCTGTCGGGGGGCGGGGGGGCACTCAAACCAAAAATTTTCAGCCCAAACCTGGCAGCCAAACAGATCTGTCAGCTTGTCACCAGATGGACGGATTGACTTGCATTTGAAACTCATGGACACTGGCTAGCGTGGGAAGAAATTAGCACATGTACCCCAGTTCTTCCAGACTGGAATGACTTGAGACCAGACAGAAGGGGGAGAGCATGGATACTGGCCCACTTTTTACTCATGGGGGAGCGAAGGGCCTCACGCCAGGCGTGTGTTGTTTTGTTTTAAATCACTTTATTAGTGACTCACAGACATACACCAGAAGATGTAAAGAACATTTAGATATAGAGGAACAAAGACAGCAGTAACTCGAAGCAGTTGCTGTTTTCGGTGCCGCTAACACGCTGGTTGCGATCTGATGACTTTCCCAGGTCCCGGCTACTGCATGGGCATCGGGCCGCTCATCTCCCACGGCAGGTTCCTGTGGATGGGCATAGGCGGCGCCTGCAACTACTACAACAAGATGTACGGAGAGTTCATGCGAGTCTGGATATGCGGGGAGGAGACTCTCATCATCAGCAAGTGAGTCTGTTAATAATCGGAGTTATGTTTTTGTTTTTTTTTTGCATTGAGGCTTGGGTTTTAAAAAATGATTTAGCTATCTTAATGTCTTTGTTTCTAAGACTATATTTTTTTCCTGCTGAAATGAAGGTGAGCGATTCCCGGGTGAAAAATCTAGCATTGCGGGCAGAATAACTGGGTTTTGCGTGAATCGAAGCCAGAGAGGTACATGGATAAAGAACTCGGGGGAAATTGGGAAGTTATTCAGAATCTCTGCAAGGGGTGAATGTGGAAAGTTAGAATCCAGATAATTTGATTTTGGCAAAACAGACTTTAGGGAGAGGCATTATCTTGTCTGCTTCCCTAAGATTTTGGTCTTTTCTGCAAGTGCACATTAAAAAGAACAAAACAAACCCGTAAAAACCCAAAATAAAACCTGAGACAAAGGCATCTGACTAGCTGGCCGGGCACGGTGGCTCACGCCTGTAATCCTAGCACTCTGGGAAGCCGGGGCGGGCAGATTGCTCGAAGTCAGGAGTTCGAAACCAGCCTGAGCAAGAGCGAGACCCCGTCTCTACTATAAAATAGAAAGAAATTAATTGGCCAACTAATATATATAGAAAAAATTAGCCGGGCATGGTGGCACATGCCTGTAGTCCCAGCTACTCGGGAGGCCAGGAGTTTGAGGTTGCTGTAAGCGAGGCTGACACCACGGCACTCACTCTAGCCTGGGCAACAATGTGAGACTCTGTCTCAAAAAAAAAAAGGTATCTGACTAGCAATTTGCCAATGTGTTCTAATGGCAGGTGACTGAGCACCTCTAGAAGGGCAGACACTAGAAAAAGAAGTCATTCATGTACTGCTCTCCCATTTATGACTGCAGGCCAGTGTCCCTGCTAAGTGGTCAGTCCTAAGTAAATAAATCAGAAACAATATTGCCCATTACAGAAATGACGTCCCCTCTCTCTACACTGTTATATTTTCTGGAAAACTAGCAGATTGAATTCACTGAACCAAATATGCATTGACTGTGGAGAACTAGCTTTGTGAAATACTGGTTTTCTTGTTTATGGGTCTTGGAAAATGGAGAATTTCAAAGAGGGGAGATTTCACTAGACTTTCAGCTGTCTTTACTAGACTTTTAGCAAAGTTATCACAGACACTGTCTCATTAATAAATTTTTATATTTGTAATCCCTGACAGAGCTTTACCCACAGACTAAAGCTGACCAGGGTGTTCTATTGATTTCTTGGGATTATTTGTTCAGATATATATACTGTCACTCAGAAGTAAGTGAAGCATTTCTGGAAACTACATTAATTTTTTCAGGTGAAGATTACATTTATCATTTTGCAAGCTACCCTGGTATCCTCAGAGCCCAATTCATTGAGGAAAATATTGAAAGAAGGGAGAGGGGAGAAAAATGTGTTTAAAACACTTCCAAATATTTCAGACTATCCAGGAATGTTATTTTGGATCTATCCAATACCTCCATTTTCCCCTGGGCTGTTCCTGGTTCATTCAGTTTCGCGTTGTAGCACTTTTAAGAGGCAGGTGACATTTATACAACTAAACATAAACGGCTTCAGGTGGGGATATCACATTATTAGGTTCCCTCTGAAACAATACTATGTAGTGGTTCTCAAAGTGCTGTCCCTCCACCAGCAGCATCAACAAACATGGGGACATGTTAGAGATGCACATTCTTGGGCCCCACCCTGAGCAACCGAATCAGAAAGCCTGGGTAGGACCCCTACAGTCTGGGGTTTAACAAGCTCTCCAGGTGATTCTGATGTGTGCTCAAGTTCGAGAGCCACTGTCTAAGGACTAGATCATAATTACTCTGATTTTACTTCTCCTGATCTACTGAGCCCTGTTCAGCCAAATTTAAGTGAATTTGGTAGGTTCTCCTTTTAAAAATGGATACTCTAGTCACTTTTGCGACCTACTATGGTCTCATGAACGTCCTGGAACTTATGACATTGGGTTTGGGGGACTGGAACATTCGCTCCTGCTGTTTCACTCCCTGGCATGGAAGCTGCCACCAACCCTCCTCAACCTGGTGTGTGACTTCCCTGTCACCTGTTCCTCTCAGCAGACAGGTGAAGTGGCCCTCAGGATATTTATCCAACAGACTGTCTACCTGCAGCTCAGGATCTAGAGCGTGGTTCTCACCCTGGCTGCACAGTAGAGTTCCCCAGGGAGCTTTAAAAAGCCCTGCTGCCCAGGCCACACCCCAATTTGTAGATCAGAATCTCGGGGGGTGGGACCCAGGCATCAGGAGACTTTAAAGTTCCCCCAGATGATTCCAGGGTGCTGCACGGCTCCAGGACCTCCCATCTAGAGAAAGGGGAGGAGGAAGAAGCTTCCGGGGCAGGAGGGCCTCTCCCTGGGGTTAGGGGAAACAGCTAAGCGTGGAGGGAGTGGTCTTGTCTTACTGCACAGCCCCCGAGTGTAGCTAAGGCGGTGGTATAAGACTAGAATTGCAGTGAAGAGTGGCAGAGTTGAGAAAGGGCCCGAGTACCAGGACAGAAATCACTCTCGGACAGGAGATACTTACATGCTAGATCCTTAGGTCACCAAGATACATTCCCTGGATGCCCAAAGACAATTGCTGAAGCAGGATCCTTGTCACCGCTGGGGTGGCATCTGACCACTCTGCCTGTCTTAATTGGGAAAGTGACTCCAGTGACCCTGACAAGTCAGGTGCTGGTTCATGTTAAGATATGGACGACCCACTCGCCCTTCCCCCGGCCCTCCCGGTGCCCTCCCAGTCCCGTCCTCTCAGGCTTTTCACTTGCCGGGGCCTTTGTGCTCTCCTTGATTGCCTCCGAGCAGCTCAATGTTGCTGTTAAAGGCTGGGCTCCCCGCGGGAATCATGTTTGTCCGCGTCTCCTTTCCCTGCCTGCTCTTCACGTCCCTTCCAGAACTACCCGTACCTCTTGAAAAGACCCCACTGGACCTCAGAAAAGCTTTTTCTTTTGATTTGAATAGTTTGCCAGATTTCTTTTTCTTTAGAAAAGTTTGAGGGCTGTAGTCATTACAACTGTGTAGAGATTACGATCCAACTTTTCCAACTGGCACCGTCCCAGGGTGGTGGGGGCTGCAGAACGTTAGGGGAGGGGGTCAGGCCTGAGTGCTGCTGGGATGCCGGATGCTGCCCGAACTTGGTCCTCCGTCTGGTCAGCTTGTACACGTGTGCTCATTTCCCCCAGGCAGCTACACGCTAAATTAACGGGGGTCTACAGATGCTCTGTGTGACACTTCATGACCGTTATATGCATATATATTACACATATATTTTGTCACGAGTACAAAAAAAAAGGTATTTGAGTAGCATTCATAAAGGGGAATTAGCAATTAACATGCTAATTAGGGCCATATTTGCACATGTTAGCAATGAACATACTAATGAGGGTTATATTTGCACATCTGTCTTAATCATGTGTAAATTCACAGGGGACTCATTCATTTATTCTTTCAACATACACTGAGAATGTATTATATACTATGCATAGATATTCTAAGTTATAATAGTCATTATTGGCTCTCCATTCATTAAATAAATATTTACCGAGAGCGTACTGTGTGCATCAGATACCATTCTAGGCTCTGGGAATACAGCAGTGAACAAATCAGCCAATAATGCCCTTCCCTCATAGAGCAATATGTTGTTATTATGCTAACCATAAACAAGTAAAATATATAGAATATTAGGAGTGTGACAAACTCTCTCAGTTTGCCTGGGACCAGAGGGTTTCCCAGGATGTGGGACTCTCCTTGCTGAAACAGGAACAGTCCTGGGCAAACCGGGATAGTTGTTCACACTGTTATCAGGTATACATGTGCTATACAGCAAAAAAAGCAGGGAAGGAGGATGGGGGAGGACCAGCTGTAGGGAGGGAGGACACAATTGTAAACAGGTGGCTCAGGCAGGCCTCATTGAGAAGAGAATATGTGAATAGAGACCAAAGGGAAGTGGGGACGCAAGCCATGCAGTGATCCGGAGGAAAAGCACTCCAGACAGAGGGACAGCAATGCACAGGTCCTGTGACGGGAGCCTGTCTGAAATGCTCAAGGGACAGCGAGGACACCAGGGTGGCTGAGCGGAAGGATAGTGGAGATGAGATCAGAGTGCAGTGGGGTGCCAGCTCATGCCAGGCCTTGCGGGCCAGTGTGACAACTCCCTGCACGTGCTGGGAAGCCATTGCAGAGTCTGTGCAGAGGAGTGGCATGCCTGACTCACTCATCTTGCCGCAGGATCGTCTGGTTGCTCTGCTGAGAATAGGTGTAAGGGACGAGGGCTGGGGGCCAGATAGGCAAGAGAGGACAGTGGCTGGTCCAGGTGGCAGCAGTAGAGGTGCTAAGATGATGAAATTCTGGGCATGTTTTCAAAGTAAAGCCAACAGGACTTGCCGATCGATTGCATGTTGGGCGTGAGAGAATGAAAGAGTCAAGGTAATGCCCCGTTTTTGCCTTGAACACCTGGATGAATGAGGACACCGTGTCTTGAGATACAGTTTGGGAAGGGGAGAGAGCAGGATTCCATTTCAGACGTGTCAGATTTGACATGCCCGGCACACCTCTGAGTGGGGTATAGAGTAGGGAGGACTGAGCCGTGAGCCCCTCCAGGTACAGTGCTCAGAAACCACCAGAGGAGAGCGAGAAGGAACAGCCAGGCGGAGAAGGGAGAAGCAGGTGAAGGATGCACGTCCAGGGAGGAGGAAATTGTGATCCACCTCAAATACTGCAGACAGGCCAAGTGAGTGCTTGGAGACTGAGAGTTGCATTTAGCAACAGGAAGGCCAGGGGCGATTTTGACAAGAGCAGTTTCAACGGAGTGGTGGGGGCGAAAGTCTGACCAGAGGAGGAAATGGGGGCGGAAGAATCAGAGGCAGCAAGTGCCGATGACACTTCCAAGGAGTTTTCCATAAAGGAAGCAGGAAATGGGCCAGTCGCTGGAGAGAGACGTGTGGCCAAAGGAGTTCTGATGTTTAAAGCAAGAGAAATTCCGGCGTGTGAGTTGTGGTGGGAACGATCGATTATGGAGGAATTGTTAACACGGGAGAAAGAAGGGGTGTACAAGGTGAGATGTGAAGAAGTCCCAGGGGACAAGTGGTGGCAGGGGCTGGCCTCGAATAGGAACATGGAAGTTTATCCGCACTCACAGGAGGGCAGGTGGAATAGATGAGCACAGATCCTGGGGGTTGGAGTTTGTGGAGGTACTCTTGTAGTTGTTTCTGTGTTCTCAGGAAAATAGAACTAAAGTCTTCAGCTGAGCCTGAGTGGGGAGGATATAATAATAATCTAGAAGAGTGAGAGAGCGAATGGACTAGGGAAATGCAGTAGAATTGCCAGCTGTATTAAGGGCCCACTTGAATTCAACTGAGACCTGTCGGAGTGTGTGTGTGTGTGTGTGTGTGTGTGTGTGTGTGTGTGTGTGTACACTCGTATATGTGCACGTGTATGGTTTTTCTTTTTTTTCCTCCCAGCCCAATTCGGTTGCCAGGTGCAAACGCAGAACAAGCTAAAAGTTGGATTCAGCTGGAGTGGGGGTTTTACCAGGTAACCATGAGAAAGTAAGGAGAGGGTCAAGGGAGTTGAGGATGCAGGGAACGGTATTTTAATTTTCATTTTCATGATTGCCAATAAAACTTATTTTCAACTTTCTATTAAGAAATTTTTCAAACAAACAAGAAAGTTGAAAGAATAGTCTTTGCCCTCTTTTCCCCCAATGGCATGGACCTTTTGAAGAGACTAGGTTAGTTATCTTATAGGATATCTCACATTGCTGAATTTCTCTCATTGTTTCCTCATAGTGACACTGAACATATTCCTTTATTCCCTGTATTTCCTATGAACTGACAATTTGGTCTAAAGGCTCCATTGGATTCAAGTGACACATTTTTTGTACTCATACTTTATCAGTAAGTAGTATGAGGCACTTCATGTCACATCACATCAGGAGATGAGTAATGGATTGTCCCCCTAGTGGTGATGCTAAATTTGATCACTCAGCTAGGGTGGTTACAGTCAGATCTTGCTGGTGCGAAGATTGGCAGTCACCCTAGAATCTAAGCTTGGCAAGTGGGGAGATTAAGGGGCCAAAGGACAGTGAAAAGGTGATCGGATTAATGGAACGTAAGACTCGGACACAGAAGACTTGTTCAGTAATTGTCTCCTCTGTATTTCTGGCGCTCGTCACCGTTGAACCTGGCCACAGGTGTGTGAGTCATTTAAACTCAGAATTTAGGTGGCTTCCTCCTTAGCACTTAGGAGCTTACTTCCTGGCTACTTTTCATCTTGCATAGACAATAGGTTTGACCATCTCTGGAGAGGTCTTCTGACTTCAGTGATGTTTAAAGAGAAATAATGCCCCTGGTAACCAGACACCTTGCACTGCACACTATCCCTCCTGAACTTGGGGACCCAGTTGGTCTCTCCTCAGTGGTAAGAAATCCTCACTTTCCCAGTCTGTGTAACGTTTCCCTCAAGCAGTGTCACGGGCTGGCCCTGCGGAGCCAGGTCCATCTTGACTGCCAGGAGGGGCTCCGGGCTGGAGCCCCGAACTCTTCACCACCCTTCTCTTCTTCGCTCTCCCGATTGACTCTGGCTACATAAATCCAGCCTAATTTTGGTAAGTGACCTTGTTTTAAATCACTCTCCTGTGGCCAGTCACACTTCACTTGCTATATGTCACTTCTGCCCAGACCGACGGCCTTGTCCTTTGCCAAGTCTGAACCTCGGACTCAAAATAGCTGAGTCGTTGGCGCCCCCTGAAGGAGACGTGGATTTTTTTTAACGTTCGCTCATTATTAACTGGCAAACATTTAGTTGGATTTATTTCATGTTTGGAGTTTCTTATTCTCTCGCTTTAATTGGTCAGCAGTTCCTTAAACGAAATGTACAGGCCAATTTGATGAGTGCCATGTACAAAAGCCCTAGGAGTCAAAGCAGGAAAATGGTCTTCTGCTTGTCCTCCGAGTACTTAAAAATTTTAGATACGAGTTTGTGAACAAAGAATATATAAATCACTTACTTTCTGCTTGTGGGGAGGGAGCTCTGCAGCCAGCGAGGGTGAGACGAGCAGCGGCAGGCAGATTAGATGAGACATACGCTTTACTGTCGGGGGGTGCAGCCATGTTCTATATAAGAACACGGCAAGCGCTTATATATGGCTCGGAACAACAGTGGCAACGTGCCAAGCAAAGACGTGATCACATGGGTTTTACATGCGAGATGACATCATGGTTTCATAAGCGCTGACTAACACCTCACTGCAAGGCCGGCGGATGACACACCAGCAGTCATTTTAGTTTGGCTTAAGAAACTGATCGCTCATACAAATGGCTTTCCCCGACATTGCACCCCCTAGGTGATAGATTTTGCGGCTGACTAACGGGCCCATAGGGAGGCCCCTTGGGCGCAAGGCCACAATAACAATACAGGGAACAGCATAGTATTACCAGACTACAGCAAACAGCTCCTAACACTAAAAGGGTCCAACGCCAGGATGACGAGAGGCGGGGTCCCCACCGTTGTTCTAATGGGTCTCCAGTCAGTTGTTGGATGGCCTGTACCTCACTATCGACATCCTTCAAGGCAGAGGAGATATCTTCCTGGTGATCAGGTATATATACACAGGTATATATACACAGGTATATATGACTGCACATGCGCCCCCGTTGGGCTGCAGTAAGGCGATCAAGAGTCACGTGGTTTTGCAAAACCACCTTTCTCATCTGGGTGACCTCATCCATTCAAAAGGGTCAAGGCCTGCCTGGTGTGATTCAGGTCCGAGCAGTACACTCCGCCAGGGCGTTCACTTCTATCTCTACTTTAATGGCTCCACCCACGGGGAAAGAGATGGCTACGGGGTAGACCCACCATGGAGTCCATTTCACACGATGCTAGCAGGAGAACACAGCATCCCAATTATGTGGTTTCTCAGTAAAGGTGGGGAGGACCTTCCCGGGGACATATGGCCATCCCCAAGCGCACTTGAGTGCACCTTCCTGTCCAACGAGCCGGAAGGTAAAGCCACCTATACAGGATGATGCCCTACTAGCCAACCTTGGGCTTTCCATGGAGGTAACCAGACAGGTCTGTAAACATGGCCCAACCAGCAGAGCAGACATGCAAAAGGGACGGCTCATGCATGACCACAATCTATGTGACATGCAATTCAGCCCATTGGCTGCTCTGCCCTGCCCCATTTCAAACCAAATTTCATGATGATCTAACTGGACAGCCACTGCCGTCCATTGGGCTAAAGGACTAGACCCATCAGTATACCATGCCTCCACTGGAGGGAAACCTCGTCCTTCAAGGTATGGGCTGTCTTCCCTAGGTACTACTGTGGTCTGAGGGTCAGCATCAGATGCAAATTCAACAGAGCCCCATACTGTCTGCAACTCTGCAGTCAAGGGGCTAGAGCTGAACTCTGTTCATAGCTCCAAATAAGCTCCCCATTTCACCAGAGTGGGCATCTGGGCTATGCCTGATCGTGGGCTGGCTATCCATGCCCTCACCCATCCTGCTGTGGGCTATGTGGTGCCCACCAGCGCCTTAGACTGCCCAGTTATAGCTTCACAGGCCTGAAGAGCGGCATACACACGCGCCAGCTGCTTCTCCACCAAGGAATATCCCTCTTGGGGGCCCTTCTAAGTCTGGAACCAAAGCCCAGTAGGGACTCGCGGCTCATGCTGGCGTTGCCACAAACCTCATTCCACCTCACTTGAGTTGACTGTCACATTGAAGTCAAACAGCTGTGAGCGGTCAACCACTTATAGCATCTGGGCTTATGCGACAGCCCTCTTGGCCACCATAAAAGAGGTCTCTGCCTCCAGGGACCAGTCCCGCTGTGTCCCCTTCTTACATAATGCATGCAAAGGTCGTAACAGTTGTGCCAAGTGAAGAATGAGTGAATATACGCCAAAACCCCAAGAGCCCCACAGACACTTGTAACTGTTTCACCATAGTGGGTTGGGGAAGACTCGAATCTTATCCATAACTCCCTCGGGGATTGCTTTCGTCTTACCCAACCAGACAACACCCAAGAGTTTGACAGACAAGCCAGGTCCCTGGACCTTGGAGTCATTCACCGCCCAATCCCATTGCTCCAACGAGGTTCAAAGGCTGGCGACGGCTTCTTCTAGATCTGTAAGGGAATCAGAGGTTAACGTTATATATTATTGATATAATGAAACAAGTACATTGTTTCGGATGGCCAACTTCATGTGGCCAAGTCAGGTGCCACCAAACCATGACATATGGTTGGGCTGTGGAGGTAACTTTGGGATAATACCACAAGTGTCCATTGTCGTCCTTCCCTTAAACATTAACACCAAGGTTTTCTTTCTTCTCAGGTCCTCAAGTATGTTCCATGTGATGAAGCACAGTCACTACAGTTCCCGGTTTGGCAGCAAACTTGGGTTGCAGTGCATCGGTATGCACGAGAACGGCATCATATTTAACAACAATCCAGACCTCTGGAAGGCAACTCGACCTTTCTTTATGAAAGGTGAGTAGGTGCTACATTCTTGTGCTTCTTCATCTTCTTGTTGTTTTTACTATGAATGTACCTTTTTTTGAAATCGTATTTTAAGTTCTGGTGTATCTCAGTTTTGAAATAATAATAATAATAGGAGAAAGAGCTGACATTCATTATACCTTTATTGCTTTATTGTAGAGTAGGCTCTGTTCCAAGCACTTGATGTTTTAATCCCACAGCATCACCACATGGTGAATGCTCTTATTTACACTTTACAGACGAGAAAACTAAGGCATTAAGAGGTTAAGCAACTTCCCCCAAATTAGTAAATAGCAGCCCAGGGTACAACCCCAGAGCCTACATTTTTTAGCCACCACAATCTTTTTTTTTTTGAGACAGAGTCTCACTTTTGTTGCCCTGGCTAGAGAGAGTGCTGTGGCATCAGCCTAGCTCACAGCAACCTCAAACTCCTGGGCTCAAGCGATCCTCCTGCCTCAGCCTCCCGAGTAGCTGGGACCACAGGCATGCACCACCATGCCTGGCTAATTTTTTGTATATATACTTTTAGTTGGTGAATTAATTTCTTTCTATTTTTAGTAGAGACGGGGTCTTGCTCAGGCTGGTTTCGAACTCCCGACCTCGAGCAATCCGCCCGCCTCGGCCTCCCAGAGTGCTAGGATTACAGGCGTGAGCCACTGCGCCTGGCCTCGCAATCTTTTTTTTTTCTTCCTGTTGATGTAAGAAGCAATTTCATAGATGTAAAGAAGGGCAGAATCTGTGTACTTAGGGCCATTTCAGTTAAGAATTTAGTGTGCCAGCCATATGTTCCATTTAAACACGGCCAAACAACGTCTTTGCCGAATCACTGACTGGTCAGCCTAGATGTCTTAGCAGAAAGCAGTTTGTGAATGAAATTAGAAAACTGCAGAACTGGGAAGAACAATTCTTCCCAGTGCTGTCTCTTGGAGCCTCTGAGTTCTATAGTTGAGGAAATACAGTCCTAGAAAGGCTGTGATTTTCTCCCAGGCAACATAGTGAGTAATGGGCGAGCTGCGACCCGATTCCAGGCCGTCTTGTCCAGCGATCTCCCCCTTTTGCCATATCAAGCTGGAGATGAAGCTGTTGGGGAATTACACGTGACTGGCCTTTGACATTAACATCAAGCCTCAATAACAGGCGTCCTCAAACTACCACCTGTGGGCCACATGCAGGCCGCCTAGCACATTTATCCGGCCCTCCGGGTGTTTTTGCCGCCGCTGCCTGTCCTGCTTAGCAGCCGACTCGTCCTGGGCCCACAGTGCGCACTCTCCAATGGTCTGAGGGACAGTGAACTAGGCCCCTGTTAAAAAAGTTTGAGGACTCCTGGTCAAGAAGGACAATCATGCCCCAGAAACCTTGTCGATAGTGGAATCTAAGGCTAAAGGGACTTTGTGTCTGACCCTGTCCCTGGATACTCTTCCCTCCAGCCAACCTGTGCAGCGAGTCTCGCCACCTCCCGTGTGGCTGTTAATACAGGGAGAGCCACGCCAGTGCCTGCCCCTCACCAAGACTAGACACAACGCTGTTGGGGACCCCAGTGTATTAGTTGCCTGTTGCTGCTGTAACAAATAACCACGAACTAAGTGGCTTAAAACAACACATTTATTATCATGCAGTTCTGTAGGTAAAACCTGGGTCTCAACAGGCTAAAATCAAAGTGTCAGCAAAGCTATGTTCCTTTCCGGAATCTCTAGGGGTGAATCTCTTCCCTTGCTTTTTCCAGCTTCTAGAAGCCACCCACATTCCTTGGCTTGTGGCCCTTCCCTCTACCTTCAAAGCCAGCAACAGTGGGTGGCGTCCTTTTCAGGTCACCTCTCTCTGCCCCTCCTCTGTCATCACGTCTCTCGCTGACTTTGGCCTCGGCCAGAAAGAGCCTTGCTTTTAAGGACTCATGTTGTTAGATTGGGCCCACCCAGACGATCCGTAATCATCTCCCCATCTCAAGGTCCATAACCTTAGTTATGTCTGCCAAGTCCCTTTCTCCATGGAAGACAACACAGTGACAGGTTCCAGAGATTAGGACCCAGACAATTGGCGGGGGGCTATTATTCTGCCTACCACTCATATTGGGGAAGATCAGTCTCCTTAATTCCTTACAAAATTCTGGAATGGATTAATGGAAAAAAGTATAGGATTCAGGGTCGTAGGTTGTGGGTTCAAGCCCCAGAGCTGCCTCTTACTAGCTATGTAACCTTGGGCAGGTCACTTAGCCTCCCCGAGCTTCAGTCCCCTTAGCCACAAAAGGCGATCAATATTGTAAAACTTGTACTCTAGGGCTGTTATAAAGAACAAATGAAATAATGCTGTGAGATCCCATAGAAACATGAACGTCATTTTACTTTGTCATTTGGCTCAGGCGCATTAGGAATATGTGAACTAGTATCTAGGGACTAAATACTAGTTAACTAGTTAACTTTCATATACCAATATCCTCCCTGACATGCAAGAGCTAATAGAATCTCTAAGTTCACTCATTTGTTTTAACAAACTACTGTTCTCATGGTTGAACTGGACGCCAAGATACAAAAACAACAGGACACAGCCCCTGCCCTCGAGGAACTTACGTGGGGGGTGGGGGTGTAGGGAACTGAATTGGGAAGGGAAAGACCAGCACATCACTAAACAGCATCACGGGGGTGGCACCATGAGAGCTGTGCACGGAGCAATATAAAGTAGAGACCAATGGACCATCTTAAGCTCACTTGAGGGGTCAGGGGAGAGTTTTCAGAGGTTTGGATGCTTACATTGAGTTTTGAAAGAAGGTAAAAATCTACCTAATTAAGAAAGTGTGATGAAGAAGGACATTCCCAGACTAAAGAGCAGGATATTCAAAAAGGCAGAGAAGGATAGACCAACGTGTCTTGTCCAGGGTCCTGCCGGTAGGCCATTATGCCTGTTAAGCCAAGGAGTTGAGCTTATCTCAAAAGCTATGGGGAATCACTAATGATTTTCAGCAGAATGACATGAACACGTTTGTGTTGTAGAAAAATCCCTCTAGTAGCATGGTGAATGAGTGGAAGGAAGGAAGGGTGACTATGGGCAGCGAGAACAGGTAGGAGCCGCTGCAGGGACACATGGCGGATGGAAGGGAGGCCACGGGCATGACAGGTTAAAAGAGCAGACACGGCAGTGCCTGGACATGAAATGAATCACAACGTCCTTGTGACCTTTTGTAAGATTAGCCCTAGATGTGGAAGATCAGATTTTCTAATAAAAATGCTACAGAACTGGACCCAAATTCAATGCCAAAAGTAGGAGGCTCATTGCTTCTCAAAAGTTCACCTGTAGTATTTGACGTTTCTACAATCAGTCAGAGTCCTAAACATTTCTTGGTGGATTTCCTTGTAGAGTTAGTCTCCTTGTTGGTTTAGTAGAAAGTTTGGGACAAGTTTTGGTATCTTTATCAGTAACATTAATCAAAGTATTGACTTACTGGGCGTGACTGTGGAGAAATAGTTAAGTGCAATTTAGACAATGGCCCATCTTGGGAGGTGGGGAGGGAGTAGGGGGTGAAGAAACAGCATGTGCTTCCTGACACTGCCAAGAAAGTTTTCTAAATTGTTGGAATTTGCTGATTACTTGCTCAATTTTCTTCTTCTTCTTTCTTCTTTCTTCTTCTTCTTCTTTTTTTTTTTTTAAGACAAGGTCTTACTCTGTTGCCCTGGCTAGAATACAGTGGCATCATAGCTCACTGAAACCTCAAACTCCTTGGCTCAAGCCATCCTCCTGCCCCAGTCTCCCGAGTAACGAGGATGAAATAATGCACCACCACATCTGGCTAATTTTTCAACTTTTTGTAGAAATGGGGTCTCGCTCTTGCTAAGGCTGGTCTCGAACTCCTGACCTCAAACAGTCCTCCTGACTTAGCTTCTCAAAGTGCTAGGATTACAGGCATGAGCCACTGCACCCGACCTCAATTTTCTCTTGACCTCAATCGATTCCATACTTTTTAGCACATTTTAAAAATTAAATCATGTCTACATCATACCACTGCATCATATAAGCAATTATATTACATTTTGCCTCTAAGTTTGAAATGTGGCTTCAAGTTCTTAAGCATACAGGCAAATCACGTATCAGCCTGGGAGTAAACCAACAGTGATTTTCTATGCCAACCCTTCTACACAAAGGGTCGAGTCATTAAGGAATCGTTTGTCCCACTTGCCGATGTCACCCAGAGAACAACATCTTGGCCTTTCACATCTGCCACATTCTTGCTTGGGTCAGAAAATAAGCTCCTACCAGCCTTCCTTTCTATATCTACGGAAGTCTTAAGAGTCTAGGGCCGCTCCTCAGGCCTACTTCCTTATTTGTAAAGTCTGCCTTCAGCCATGAGGCTTCTGCTGCATAACTGATTTTCATTTTTAAAAAGTCTTCTGAGAGAGACGATAGTCTTCTGAAGTGAAGCCTACAATGTCCCCCAGGATTTTTCATCTCATTTCAACGACTCTGACTTTAACAGCAAGTCTAAACAATAAAAGACTTTGAAAATAGAGATTGTTCTTAAAGGAAGTTCAAGGAAATTTAGGACAAAGAGAGAAAGGAGGCCCTTAAGAGTTAAACCCTCTTCAGAGGCCACCTACCATCAGGACCCACTAGCCTCTGTTCCCATGGTCAGGGACTGAGCAAGGGCAAGATCAGAGCCCGCTCATTCATTCATTCATTCATTCATTCCTCTATTTGACAAATATGTAGGCAGGGTCTCTATGCTATGTTACTATTTAACTTGAAATCCAATGATAATAAGTGGTTGTCGTTGTCTTTAAAGAGTTCCCAGGTAAGTGGGGGAAAGACTGTTAAGCAAACGAGGAATTGCTTAGCTGTTATTGCCACTGGTTGAGTAAAATAAACCTGGAAGTAGTTTGAAGAGAAATCAAAATTAAGAGAAAGACACTTCTGGTGATTTATAAGACTAGCACTTTACACATATAACCTACAATTAAACAGGAAGGACTTTAAATCAAATAGGTAAGATCCAATTTGACTAGTTCCATAGTACTATCCTGCCGCCTGTGGAAACATAAAATAAATATGACCTGGCCAAATGCAAGCCATCCATCCATAGGAGGAGATGTGAAAAATCACTGATTGGTGACTTATGACCATAAGGACTGACTATTTCGTTTGCAGTCATTCCCAGAGATGATTTGCCAGGGCATGAAGAAAAGTTTAATTTGGGATAGTTTGTTTAAAATATTTATTTATTCGTTCGTTGATTTTGATCCACGAAGGTAGTACATACATGTAGAGAATTAGAACACAGAGAAGCATAAAAAAAATAGGAAAGAGTCTACCAAGTTATTAAATAAAAAATTGTGGGCAATTAAGCTCCAAGCATAAAAGGCCACGATGTCCTGATTCTGTGGGTGTGTGTGTGTGTGCGTGTGTGCTGGAGTTCGTGCCGGCTGATTCTCTGCTCTGTACCCTGCAGCTCTGTCGGGCCCTGGCCTTGTCCGGATGGTGGCGATTTGCGTTGACTCCATCAGAACGCACCTGGACAGGTTGGAGGAGGTGACCAGCAAGTCGGGCTACGTTGACGTGTTGACCCTCATGCGGCGCATCATGCTGGACACCTCCAACATGCTCTTCCTGGGGATCCCCTTGGACGGTACCGCAATTTTCATTCTAGAAACTGGACATTGTGCCCTTTACTGACCAAGGGGGCGAGAAGGGAGGCAGACTAGAGGAAACACACCCCGTTTCATACATTGCTCTTGTCTAAACAGTGCTAACTATTCCTAAGGTGTTTTTTTCCCCTAGCATTTATTCCTGACTTGCTCACTTATAAAATGTAAATTCCATAAAGTAGGGGCCAGCTTCTATTTCTTTTGGATCTCTCCTCATCGCTCTAGGAAATAGGATTCTACTCACAGTGAAAACTTAAATGTGCTCGGTTCATTTGACCATTAACACCCCCTATCACCAATCAAACGGGTATATTTAACTACTTCCAGCCATTCTTTTGGGCATGAAATATACATATATGCATACATACACGTACACACACACACCCCTCCCTCAAAGCCACTCAATATGAAAACTTTGGCTCTGTCTCTATGTAAAAATGGTGATGCTGCAGCTGCCTATAGCTTCTCTGTGTCTGCTATCTGCCAAGCAGTGTGAAAAGTTGCTGTATGTACACCTTTGCCATTTAATACTCACGACAACCCTGACAAGATGTCTCATTCAAAATGCCACTTTTCTCCCTATGTTACAGAAATGAATGTTAAAACATGTGCACACGACTCTACCACCACCAAAAACCAAATATTAATCATTTGGGTTAATTCCATTCTGCTGTTGACTTTAAGTATGTCCAGGCTTAATGCGATTTTTTTTTCCCTGAATTAATTTACAGCAGTGTTCATTGTTTCATATATTCATTCAAAAAACATTTGTTGATTGCTTGTTTTATGCCAGGCACTGTTCTAGGTTCTGGGGATACAGCAGTAAACAAGACAGATGAAATTCTTGCCTTCAAGGAGCTTACATTCCAGTGGGGGAAGGACAGTAAAATAAGTAAACATCTAATAAGATATTAGGCAATAGTAAGTGCCTGGAAGAAAAAAACAAAGCAGAGAAAGGACAGAAAGCGAAGGAGAGGTCCATGGGATGGGGCATGATTGTCGTGGAGAGAGGACATTTGAACATAGCTCAAACACAGGGAGGCCACCAGCCACGTGCAGATGTGAGGGAAGTGCATTCCAGGCAGAGGAACCAGGTATACTTTCAGCAGTTGCACCGGCCACCTGAGCCACGGCGCATGCTGCCTGGTTTACCACATTTGCACAAATAGTCAAGCTCCCTTCCCCCTTGCCAGCTCTCATTGCCTTGCCTCCCCTACCCCAGCTCCTCTTCACAAGAGCTGTAGGAACCTCATCTGATTTGGGCGGGAGCCCCCACTCGCTTGGAGAATTCTTAGCCACACGCTCCTGTCTGGTCCCCTTACAGACAGGGACTCCACTGCCAGCGTGCCTGTTCTGCAGACATTGCTTCTGAAGTTAGGCAGGCAGGTATTTCACAAGGTACCCCCCTAGCCTAGATTGTTAGGTAGGATCACGTAAAGGGCGTTGTAAATCTCTCCATCGTGCTCTACACCGGCATAACCCATGCAGAGTTACATCAATTTCCTTCCTGCCAGGTCCTTGTTAAACTCTCCATTTGCCCAAGGGACCCCAAGAGGAAATGACGTCGCCCTGAGGTCAGATAGAACAAGCTGCAGCCTAAGGGCCTGCCTGCCACACTGGCCGAATGGTGCTGGGCAAGTTTCTTAATTTCTGTGAATCATAGTCCCTTCAACTGCGAAATGATGACACTATGACTCCCCTGGCAAGATTGTAAGGATCAAATGAAAAATCTCTTTCATAAAGCACGTAGCATGGTGGCTGGTATTTGGCAGTTGAACATGTCTGTTCCCTTCCCTTTTGTGTATTGATGTGGTATAATTTGGAAAAGCAGGGGTTTTCTCTCCTCTAGTATTCAATTTAAGTAAAAGATATTCAGTAAGAGCTGGCTATGCATGAGGCGCAGGACAAGGCATTGAAGAAACTAAGAAGAATTCTGTACTCTGGACCGATTATAATAAATATGGAAGCCGTGTGATGAGGGCTATGGAAAATAAATGAATACGGCGCTATGAGATGAGAATATAGTTAGTAGCTATTAAGTAGATGTATCATCCAAGTAGATTGACCACTTACTTAATGGCTCGCTTACCCAACTCCAAATGAAGTTAAAATGTGCTATGAACTTCCCCATAGGCTCTGCTTTTTGTTTAACCCCAACCCCAGGTGCCAGAGTCAAGACTGAAACAGCCGCAATTACTAGTCCCCTTTGTCCAGAAAAGCGGGAGAGAGTTGAAGCTTTGGCCAAAGGGAGGCTATGTGAGGTTCTAGACTGTGTCTCAAACACAGTCTTGGAAATGGGCAAGTCCTGGGTTAACCAGGCCAGGTTAGATGCCAAGCACGATAAATCAGTGCTCGATTTGTCTAGCGGCATCCACGTGGCTAAAAAGCCCACAGAAGGTGGAACCCTGCTCAGCTTGGTTCTCAGACTGGTAGGAGAACCTATGGGGAATGTTCTCTGCTCAGAGTACCCTTGTTAGGCTCATATTTTGCTCAATTGCTCTTTTGTTTTTTTCCCCCCAGAATCTGCCATCGTGGTTAAAATCCAAGGTTATTTTGACGCGTGGCAGGCTCTTCTGCTCAAACCAGACATCTTCTTTAAGATTTCGTGGCTGTACAGGAAGTATGCAAAGTCTGTGTAAGTAAGACACGTTTGGAAGATTTATGAGTACAGTTGGATTGTGGTTTTTTTCCTTGTGTCTTGGCTGTTGTTTTTGGCCCCTTCCTTAAGTTTTCTGCTCTCCAGAACCCACGGGGAGCTGTTAATTACGTTTCTGATGAAATACACCTCAGGCATCTGGCCAGACCAAAGAGTAAAGGAAGCCGTTGGCCTCACAGCTTCTCAGCAAGGAGGCTTAGTGTGTGGTCTGAAAACTTTCTCTCTGGAATAGAACACAGCAGTCTATTTTGAGTTGAAGGGTTGGCCGATCCTATCATTAATATCTGTCAAAACTCCCTTTGCATAGCTAGAAAAATGGATACAGAATCAATGCGTAGTTGTGTTATTTCTGAATGAATTTAACATAATTCGACTTGTAATAATTGGCAGTAGTCTCAAAAGAATTTCTTAATAATGGATATAATGAACTTCAATAAAATGTGTGATTTTTTTTTTTTAGTTGTATATCTTGTGTTTTGGAGGCCCTGAAACTGTCATTAAATGGCTTTGTTTTGGTCTTAGTCCAGCAGAAAACTAGATAAAGCCTGGTTTTTAGATTGCAAGTAGCCAGTAGAAAGCCCATGAGACCTAAAGGCAGACAATACTAGTTTGTATCCTGTCTCTACTACTCAGTAACCAAATGGCCTTTGGAAGTTATTTAAAATAAAATATAACCTACCTTCTAGAATAGGGTATAGGTTAATGAGATTATGTATATAGAGCAATTAGTATAGAGTATGGAACATAGTGGGCACTAAATATGTTAATTTTCTCCTTCCCTCTGTTCATAGCTTCCTCAGATGCCCTCCCACCACCCTCCCCACTTAGGTTCTCCATCTCTGAAAGTTCCCAAACTTATTGAAGACCCAACTTTATTCTATTTGTGGATTTTGAAATTCAGTAATATTAGTTTATAGGGAGGAAGCCAATTTGATGTTGCCTTGTATGTTCACCAGCAGTTGATGAGTATTAGGTGAATGTTTTAGACTCTTTATACATTCCATTATTTCCAACAGAGTTTACTGTGACTTGAATCAATTAGATAAAGGATTCATCTCTTCACTGTGATCAGATTTGATGGCAGTGATAGTGGTCTGAAGAGTCTCATTGTATAGTTCTTGGTCATTATTTAGCCTTTTTCTTGGCCATTTGGCCTATAGAAATGTACTGCTTTAGACTGTATAATGGTTTCTCTGAGGTTTCTATAGAAATTAGCTAAGCAACATTCCCTTTATGTATAACATTTGCCAATGGTTACTGTTCTAGTTTATATCTCTTATGTCTTAGAGTAATAAAGACCCGGAGAAATCTTTTAATCTCTTCCCCCATGCCCTTGCAATAATGCTAATACATTATAAAAATACATTTGTGGGAAGGAGAGTGAGACATCTACTTCCACCTCAATTCAATTTTATATGTATGCCTCCTTTAATTTTCAAATATTATAGCATTATTGTCCTCTAATTTTTATTGTGGCACAATAAAAATTTTCAGTCACATAATACCTTACATAGGTGTTTGTAGGCTGGGCTGGTATCCTAGCCACTACTGTTTTGGTGCAAAATGTGTCCAGAGTTCCAAACAACAGGCTGACAAATGCATTCTTATAACATGTTTGTAAGCCAGAGACTTCCTATTCCCTGAAAATTGTCATTGAACTCAATTCTCCCAGTTTTGAAGGGCATATACATTCAGATGCATACATTTATGTAGGGCCAATTTTTACTAATAACTCTAATAGGAGAGATCCCAATGGATATTCAAGTCGACTGATGCAAAACTGGATTCTGGCCCAGGGAGGAAGTAAGTGCTCAGTAGTGGCTATAGTTCCTTCAAGGAACTCTCTATGAATTTGGAGTCTAGGGGCATTCCAACACCTGGACCATTTTGTGGTTATTGATCAGATAGGAACACTATGAGCATTCTCAGCCTACTAGGACGTGGGCACTACAGCCCAGATACTCAGTTAAGTGAATATCTGTATGTAGGAGATGCTCAATAAATATTCAGTGAATGAATGGCCTTTCATTCAGTGAATGAAAGGTATGTCAGTGGCCCTGTCAAAAAGAATTTGACAAAAAGATTTACTATACATTTAATATAATACAGAACATTGTTCCCTGGGGTCAGGAAACAAGCAATACATTTACAATGAACACAAACGCTTAAGGACAGAGGCAGGACTAACAGGATTTAGATGCAATGTGACCTTACTATTCTTCTAGTCTGATCCCTTCATTTTAAAAGAGATGTAGGGCTCAGAGATTTAACTTAGGGTATGTAGAAAGGGAACAACCTGGACTAGAACCTGACCCTCTGTCCAAGGTGCTCTTCCCTCAACCACACCATCAAAATACATATACGCATTTATGCAGCTAATCATCCATTCAGCAAATATTTCCTTAGCGTTTACTGCATGGCAGAAACCACAAGGTGTGAGAATAAATACCAGGAATGATAGGCGGTCACTTGAGTTTACTATCTGGAACAGGAGTCTCAAACTCAATAGTCTTCAGAGGTAGGCAAATAGAAGTGGGCTGTGTGGGTATAAGATAAGAGGAAACGGAGGAGCTGGGGCAAATTGAAGAGTGCATCCCCTAAAAGCCATTCGCAGGTTTTCTTGGTTTTGTTTTTTAATTTAAAAAAATTAAGTTAAAAAATTAAATTAATTTTTTAAAAATTCAAATTAAATTTTTTGTGCCTGCCATATCAGAAATTGGAAAATATGGTTAGATTTAGCCTTTAATAGCAGTTTTTGACCCTTAACTAGAAAGTCACAGCTTTGATTTAGGCCAGTATCTAAAAATCTAAGTAATTCTAGTACTTCAACATGAAGTATAAGGTATATGTATTATAATTCAAGGTTATTTGTAAAGAAATAAAATGGAAATTTACTTATTCATGAGCACCAATGGCTTCCATTAAAGCAGATCACTTTATTTAAACAAATGGCAAATGAATCTATTTTGTTACATGTCTAAACTGAGTACAAATAGACTATATTTTGACTTTCTTTTTTCCAGCAAGGATTTGAAAGATGCCATAGAAATTCTGATAGAAGAAAAAAGACGCAGGATTTCCACAGCAGAGAAACTGGAAGAAAGTATGGACTTTGCCACTGATTTGATTTTTGCCGAGGTACTGACCAGGACTACCCATAATTCCCCTGCAACATACGTTGTGACTATTTCTGTGTGGGTGTGTGAAGATCCACTTTTGTAATTTTGCACATTTCTGCTTCTAACTATTTTCTCTAGCAGTTCTATGATACCCAACTCAAATAGTCCATACATTAGATATTCTAGTAAGACTGACCTTTAAAGGCCGGGCGCGGTGGCTCACGCCTGTAATCCTAGCACTCTGGGAGGCTGAGGCAGGCGGATTGCTCGAGGTCAGGAGTTCAAAACCAGCCTGAGCAAGAGTGAGGCCCCGTTTCTACTATAAATAGAAAGAAATTAATTGGCCAACTAATATATATAGAAAAAACTAGCCGGGCATGGTGGTGCATGCCTGTAGTCCCAGCTACTCGGGAGGCTGAGGCAGGAGGATCGCTTGAGCCCAGGAGTTTGAGGTTGCCGTGAGCTAGGCTGACGCCACGGCACTCACTCCAGCCTGGGCAACAAAGTGAGACTCTGTCTCAAAAAACAAAACAAAACAAAACAAAAAAGACTGACCTTTAAGATGGAAACTGTTCTGTGTCACAACACAAAACACGAAAACAGGAGAGGAGAACCAAAGACACTGAACACATAGAGGGTTGGCTTGTTTATCCCTCAGCTGAGGATTGTCATGGAAGATGTTTGTGGTCAATTGCAGAGACGTGTCATTTCTAAGATTTCATTTCCTTGAGGTTGTTGATACTTAAGGGTCATCTCCCCTTATTTTTTGAAACAATGGTTCACTTTTCCAATGTTCCCCACCTTTCAATTGTTCAGAGACGCGGCGACCTGACAAGAGAGAACGTGAACCAGTGCATCCTGGAGATGCTGATCGCGGCCCCTGACACCATGTCTGTCTCTGTGCTCTTCATGCTGTTCCTCGTCGCAAAGCACCCTAAGGTGGAAGAGGCAATACTGAAGGAAATCCAGACTGTCGTTGGTAAGAATTTATCAAATAAATCAAAGAGCTTAAACAACACTTCCTTCTGAGCGTCAGCTCATGTCAAACACAAAGTCTTTTATAATCCGCTCAGAACAGTAAAGCAAGCCATTTGGTCACACTTTGATGACGCCAAATAGGTCGAAAAGGTAGTTCTTTCTGTGTGTGTGTGTGCTTTAAATTATAAATGTAATGAATGTAACAGCTATATAAAGCAGAAAGTGACACGGCCCAATCCCTTTCCCTCTCCTCCCCAGCCTCATTCCCATTCCCCGGTGGGAATTAATGGCTTGCTGTGTATTCTTCAAGATCTTTTTCCATGTGCACACACAAGCACACATCTGTGGCTGGATTTGTCTGTTTTACAAACACACAGGATCGTGTGCCATGTTCTGCCTACCTTATCAGTTGCAAAAGGCTTTTGTGGGTCCCCCCGCCCCAGGGGGACATGGCTATCTGTGACTGACAGCAGTGTTTCAGAGTCAAGCAGCCCATTCACAAAAGAGCTTCCAGTTGGTGGCAGAAGTGGAAGGAGAGGGCGACAGCCAAGGCAGGAGAGTGGCCTGTTTCCCTCTCCACTTCAATCCAGGGATGCTGGCCCCTTTCCCCCTCCCCATCTCCTCTGCAGGGAGCCAGGCTGCCACCTCTGTAGGAAACCAGAATCGCTGTCTGGGAGAAAAGAGAATTTCTTACACGAAACTTCCTTTACCTGAGTTGTGTGTTCAGGAACACAGTTCTTAAAGCTGTGAAGAGATAGCACATGATGTGGACTTCCCTCTCGAGTTTTTGCAGTCCCTGTGAAACAAGTTATCTGGTTGTGAAAGGGCACCATCTTTTAAAAACTGTCTGAGAGCTGCTTGCAACAGTTTAAAACAAGAGGGGATTTCACAGAAGGCTTAAATATGTGAGCAAGGGATCTGCGGATGCATCACATAGGTGGGAATTGCCTGGCAAGGTAGGGAGCAAGGAGCCAGGACAACTACTCCAGAGCGTGGCCTCCAGTGCCTCCTCTCAGGTCATCGGGTCTGTGCCAGGTGCAGGAGTACAGCACTGAACAAGCCAGCGCCACCCCTGCACTTGTGGGGCTCATGGGCCGGTGGGAGAAAGAGAACTCGATAAGCTCAAAGGAGTGACGAGAGAGGGCACCATAGAAGGAGGGCATTCAGGGGACAAGGCGAAAATGGCTTTTGAGACCATATGCCTGTAATACCCATTTAATACAGTTTCCTTGAGAGGTGAAAAGAGTTTGTGCCTCTTGCTGTTGTTCCCCTGACATTTCAGTAGACCACAAAGATGCAAAAGCAGCAGGGCCATTTGCACGTGTCTGTGCTCCCTCCCGGCTGCCGTACACAGACGTGGCAGTCACTTCCTAGTGGGTGCCTTTGGTCACCTTCTCCATCATCTTCCCTTCCACCTTCCCACCCCAGATACGCATACCCCGTTAGACCCTTGGGTGTGCAAAAGCATCTGTAGGGGGAAGGACTGTGAGAGCACTGTGACCAAACTAGAGCTTCCCCGGATGGCTGAGTTGTACAGGAGGCAGGGCTGCCTCAGGACCCTGGGCTATCTTTGATTCTGCAAAAGGGGCAGCCCATTTGAGGATGCTCTGGAGCTTCGCCCTGTGTGGGAGTAACCCAAGCCTCTTTGACCAGCGTCAGGCCAATCTGAGATGGGGGTGGTGGTTCATCAATCCCCAACTCACTGGGGGCAGGTCTGAGGCACCTGTTTTATCATTGGTGGGGAGAGGGGAGTCCTTGTCACTCTACTGCAATAGGTTGTTCTTGATGAGATACGGAGGGACTAATGGTGACATTAAGGGGCAGATGACTGCACAGGCAACCAGAGGAGAAAATTTCATTGAAATGGATGAAATCCACCACCTCATTTTGACTATGCAGCAACAGACTCCTCCAACAGACTTGGGGATGGCTATGGTGCTAGTTTGCTCACACAAGAGAGGGAATGAATTTAGAGTAGGGGACAAAAACCACAAAGACTTCAGGGGCCAGGCCGGTAAGACTCATGTCTGACGCAGACTAGCTGTGGTCCACGTGGAAATGTGGGGTGTGCACCCCGCTCCGCGGAGAACCAGCCACTCAACTTCAGCCCACGTTGCCATGGGGAAATGTGGGTCCCGTGTTACCAAGTTTTCTGATTTTTCTGGAAATCCAGGCTTTTCTATAAAATCCCTCAGGTTTGAAGATCACTGGCTTCATACATGATTTTTTTTTTTTTTTTTTTTTTTTGACACAGAGTCTCACTTTGCTGCCCAGGCTAGAGTGAGTGTCGTTGCTGTCAGCCTAGCTCACAGCAACCTCAGACTCCTGGGCTCAAGCAATCCTCCTGCCTCAGCCTCCCAAGTAGCTGGGACTACAGGCATGCGCCACCATGCCCGGCTAATTTTTTCTATATATATTAGTTGGCCAATTAATTTCTTTCTATTTATAGTAGAGACAGGGCCTCACTCTTGCTCAGGCTGGTTTCGAACTCCTGACCTCGAGCAATCCGCCCGCCTCAGCCTCCCAGAGTGGTAGGATCACAGGCGTGAGCCACCGCGCCCGGCCCATACATGATTTTTTTTATAAAACACTCTGTGGACCAAGCATAACATAGTTGGCCCTGGTTGCTGGGGTGTGTTAGAATTACAGACATAATTTTTTCTCAACCAAGAGCAAACTATTCTGTGGGAAAAAATAGGACCTTCAGTGCTCACCCCATATTAAAACTAACTTACCTTCTTTGTCCTTTTTGATGTGCTCCCACAGGTGAAAGAGACGTAAGGATCGATGACATGCAAAAGTTAAAAGTGGTGGAAAACTTCATCTATGAGAGCATGCGGTACCAGCCTGTGGTGGACCTGGTCATGCGCAAAGCCTTGCAAGATGACGTCATCGATGGCTACCCCGTGAAGAAGGGCACTAACATTATCCTGAATATTGGAAGAATGCACAGACTGGAGTTTTTCCCCAAGCCCAATGAATTTACTCTGGAAAACTTTGAGAAGAATGTAAGAGCCCTTCCTTAAAACCAACTGTGCCACTCTTGAAAATGTCAACTGTTGAGCCTGCTCTGGTTCTGTGTGTCAGCACCATGCACATGTCATTCTTTTTACTTGTCCCCCTCTGCCACCTCAACCATGAGCACAGGTGTCCCCTAACTTGGGACAGGGCTACCATATTCATCCTCAAGCCAAGGGCTGCTGGGTCTCCAGCTCTGAGAAATATCTACATGGTGGCCACATGCTTTCAGGTCAAAACATGAAAAATCCAGGCACTTCATTTGGCTAAAATGAGGCAGATTTTGTTTAACCTAACCAACCTACTTTTCCATTTAAACTTATCACTTTGGCATCATGACATCAGATTTAACTATAGCACCATGTGAGCAAAGCCCACTTCTGCTTCAGATGGGCAGCAAATGAGACCAAAAGATTTGGTTTTTGCGACGTGCGTTTGGTTCATCAAATGGCCCCATGGGCAGCAGGTCCCATTCTAAATAGGACTCAATAATTAGAAGAAAGTCAGCCGCTGCTTTTATCACTCATGTGTACTGGGTATTCTGCCTCCATTATGTCTAATTTTAGGCAAAAATGTTTTTAAGCTTGAATCATCCAGGGAGTTCCTTCAATGCCCTCTTTTCCATTTGCATATGATGTAGAAACATGATGTTAATTAATCCGGTACTCTAATTCATTATGTTTCTACACCAGCAGTCCAGTTAATGCTAGGTAAATCAGCCAATTGGTCAACAAAGTTTATTGAACATCCGCTATGTGCCAGGTACTATGTAAGTCCAGATATAGAAAAAACCAGACAGATGTGGTCCTCATTAATTTTCTGCATAACTAAAAATAGATAGTTGGTACTGATGGGCCAGGAATCTGCATTTTTGCTTGCATCTGTCCCGTTTCATCAGGTTATATGGCACCAGGCACAATCTTTGCCTTGGTGACTTGCAAAATAGTAGTGAAGACATGTCTCTTTCACAGAGCTAGTTGAGCATACTAACATCGGCCGTAGTGAGATGATTTGCACTGCTTTACCCCAGCACACTTCCATGAAAAGCCAAACTGGGGACTGTCTAAGGTTGAGTCTGTATCACGTCGAATCAAGCAGGATGGAGAAAGGGCTTACCTGAATTCTGGTCATTCATCTCAGTAGAGGGGCAGTGAGGCTGGGACCCCCCAAAGAGAGCATTCTGACTCCCAGTGTTTTCGGAATGAATCAAAAACTGCATGACTCTAGCCTTTAATACTCTGGCTAACTGTCTGTTCGTTTTCATAGGTTCCTTACAGGTATTTTCAGCCATTTGGTTTTGGGCCTCGTGCCTGTGCGGGAAAGTATGTCGCCATGGTGATGTTGAAAGCCATCCTTGTTACACTTCTGAGACGATTCCACGTGCAGACGTTGCAAGGAAAGTGCGTTGAGAACATGCAGAAAATAAATGACTTGTCCTTACATCCAGATGAGGCCGACAACCTTCTGGAAATGATTTTTGTCCCAAGAAACTCAGACAAATGCCTTGAGCACTAAAGAAGGCTGGCCAGCACCTGCTCTGGAGCATTTCTCATCAGTAGTTTACATGGAAATCATCCATCCTTACCAGGTAGAGTCATCCTCAGAGTGAACATTCTGTGGCGCATGGTGTTCTATAGGCGTACCTCCTATGGGTTGTCCGCAAGATGGGAGCTGTCAGTCATCTGCCCTTGCTAAACACAGAAAGCCTGGCTGCCAGAGAAAAGGCAGGGGCCAAGAGTCTCCAAGGGAAATGGTCAGTGAAGAAACTGCAGCTCTAAAGACCCCATTCCGCAAAATGTGCTTCAGAAAGGACAGGCCATCAGCAAAAATGTACGTCTTTCCCACTGGATCTCCAAGGCCCTGCCCCAAGGGCATTTTCGTGACCCAGGGAGAAGCTCTCAAGTTTACTAGAAGAGCCAAGCCAATGTCTGGGTATCGGGGCCAAACATACCTGCTAGTGTAGATGAAAGTACTTTCCTTTGGTTTCTTTGGGGGTGGGATAGCAACTTTCACAGTCTTTGGAGAAATGCTTGCAAATTCAGCACTTGACTTGTCCTGTGGATTATGCCCAATTAACTCCTGTTTATCCACATGTGATCTGTCTGTGCCATAAGTTATATCTGAGGATGTCCTTTCCCAGTCTCTCAATTCAGGCCTCATTCATTTGCCTCTGCTATAATAGGCATAGATTCAGGCAATACAAGCTAACTTAGTAATAGCTTGAGTAAAATATAATGAGGACCTTCTATTTGCTGTAGGAAAAAAAAAAAAGAAATCACATGATGCATTTCAAATTAAAATAAAAATCCTTTTTGCATGTTTGCATTGTTGCTTAGCTTAATTAGGGTGGCTAACCAAGGGACAACTTTTAATATGGCATCTATTAGCTATTACTATAGCTTCAGTGATTGGGGGAGGAAATGTTCTCTAAACCTATATCGAATTCTACAACCCAATGGGTTCAAACTTCTAAGAAATGCTCATGCCATCTTATCCTCCTCCTCCCTCGACATTTTCTCCTTCTCTTTCTTTCCATGATCCCAAAAGCCAAGGGCAACAGATCAGTAAAGAAAGTCGTCAGAGGACAACCCCTCCAATCATTTTTTTTTTATCCTACCTCAGATTTAACAGTTACCTGAAAGGTTTAGCAGTTATTTAGTGTATTGAATCATTGCATGTAGCATGGGTAAAATGTACACCTTGGAATTAGCTCTTTAGCAGTAGTCCCAAACCTTTTTTGGTGGGGTTAGGGGAGAGGTGGATGAAGCTTCGCTCACTCACCTGCCGCTCACCTCCCGTTGTGTGGCCCTGGTTCCTAAGTTTCATGGCAGGTGGGGGGTTGGGGTTGGGGCAGGGGGCGGGGTGGGGGCAGTGGAGCTCTGCAGCATGGTCTCTAACAGGCCGAGCCCCTAACAGGGGTTGGGGACCGCAGCAGGAATCAAATCGATGGGTTAGTTTTCCAAACACCGCTTTATTTGTGTTATATAGCTGATATGACTATATCTATTGAGTGTCATTGAAAACCTAAAAAATTAAACGTATTTACAAATATGTAAGTGTTTGCCATTGAGTCAATAGCCATCCCATCCTAGTTGAATATTCTTTTCATCCTACTGTCTAGCAATGAGGCAATAGCTGAGTATAAAATGAGAGTGTAATCTGCCCGAGAGCAGGAGCTGTTTTCTTTCTTTTGTAATCCATCCCCGTCCCCCCCCCTGGACTCCCCGTATTTACTGCCATGGTTAAGTTCATAATAGACGCTTGTTCATGGATACTCTCAACTGATCCGGAAAGCAAGTAAAAAGGCAGGAATTCTAAGAATTCAAGGATGGACATTAGTAAAGGACACATTTGAACTTGGAATTATTTGGATCTATGTGATCTAAAACTACAAGGACTATGCCTGTGGACCTGAATATGTCTGTAGTCAGGTCTAAACAATCATCCAACTAATTCAGACCCCTGAAAGCAAGGCCAGGATTTGAGATTTAATTTCTGATTAGTAACACGCTGTTTACATTGCCTCTGGCTGGAGCTGCATGGTAGAGGAAAACAGACTTTGGATCAGGGTCTTTCTCCCACCCACCCATGTACTCTTGGGACATTTATGTGTATTTTACCTGTATATATGTAGCCAAGGCCTACGACTCTACAGTGCAAGTGAAATGACAGGTTGAGATAGTTGTGTATAGACAGTGCGGGTACAGAACCAAGCTGGGGGAGACCTGGGAGTCAGGAGCGGGGATGAGGGACATCAAGCAGACAGGCAGAGGGGAAGTGCTTTTTTAAATGACCCAAGCGAGCTCTCCCAGAGTCAAGTTATCTGGGTAGTTGTTTAACTTCTCACCCTCTTTGACCTGTATAGACAAAAATCCATATGTTTATACAGGCTTGGCCTAAGGAATTTGGAATGCCATTGACTTTTCAGTAGGCTGACAAACATATATTTGAAAATCCTATTATCTTTTCAGAATTTTGCCTCATTGTTAAGTACTTAATTGTCACTCTTGAATGTGCTGTGGATTCTATTTTCATCCGTTCTCAAAGGACTGGAATCTGTAAACTATCGGTGAAAAGCATGCATACAAGGGCTCTATCACTGTCAAATTGTGAGGACAATTGTACCCGTCTATCCTCAGTGTACCAGATACCCCCCAGGCCTTCACTGAGATCCCACTGCCCCTCCCCCCACCAAATGGAGAATAATCACATTCAGAAAGCCCTCTCATTATTGAGAAATGCCAGTTGGAAGTTGCCACTTTTTATTTCTAAGCAGCATCTGTCACCATTCGCGGTGCTAATATTCTGCAGCACTGGCCCAGTGAAAGAATGCTAGCTGGACCCCTCTCCATTGCCTAGGTCCCCTCGGGGACTGAATCTGTCACCTATTCTCGCAGAAAGATGTGCTAAATTAAATTTTGTCAAAGTAACGAGTTGAATGAAATTTGTGAGACTTTCAGTTACTCTGAGCTCAAAGAACAAAGTCAAGGGCTTAACCTTCCAGAGTTCAACCCAGAGGGGGCTTACCTGAGTGACCTCTCATTCCCTCTCTGCAGCTGTTAGCAAGTATTGGCCTATGTCTAGAGAGTCAGTGGCCGTACCCCTGGTTCTACCAGGTCAGCAAGGCAAACGGGATGTACTTAGGGCAACCTGTTCATCAAATCTAGCCCGTTAAGTATACTCTACCCCTCCCTCTTCCATCAAGAAAGCATTTCAAAGTGCAAAACAAATGAGAAACACAAGAATACAAGTATAAGAATTATCATAAGAATAATCTTGCATCCACTGTAATTTTTAAGCAAAAGCAAAAGGCTTGTTTCACAAACCTCAGTATTTTAATTTATTAGTAAAATGTTTCTTGCAATGAAAGTCTGAAGTTACAAGACACTGAAGTTGAAAGCCTGTGGTCCAGGTGATTTTTAAAGTTCTTTTCAGCTCTATGACTCCGGATGTGGGACTACATTAAAAAATAGGGAGTGGTTTTTAAAAAAATAGTAATTTACTATAAGCACACAGTGTGCAAAGCAAACCTCAAGATGACCCTAAAATTGCCCTTATTTTGGCCCTTATTTGCCCTTAAATTGGCAAATGCCAAGAAGCCCATCATGATTGACAGCTATTGTGGAATTTCTTCATCTGGCAAGGATTCTGGACATGAATGAAATATCCAGTGCCTCCTGTTGTTACTTCCAAATAGCCAGGAGTTCGGGTGTGGAGGAGACACAGCAAGACACACAGCACAAAGGCTTCCTCTTCTAGCCTAGGCAAGCCCCGATGAATGAAGCGCTGAGAGCACATCACCCACCTGCCTCTTTCCCATTCAGTTAGTGTGAAAGTGTGTTCTTTCAGGCCAGGAAAATAATAGTAATTGTAGTTACTTTCTTACTATATTAAGCCCTTTTATACAGTCATTTCATTTACTCCTCTCAACAATACTAGGAGGTAGGTATTATTCCCCCCCAATCATCCTTTGTTACCTGCTTAGAATTTCCCTCCCCTGCCCACACATCCCCCAACACACATGGCTAGTATCTCTGGCTCCGTTGTCAAAACCTGCTTTCTAGCAGATTAAAATTTTTTAATCTGCTAAACTCATCTATCTAAGTTACAGAGCATTGCTAAGGCTCGGGATGTTATCCTCCCTTGCCTCAGAGGTTTTTGTCGTTTTGTTTGTTTGTTTGTTTTTGAGACACAGTCACAATCTCTTGCCTGGGCTAGAGTGCCCTGGCGTCCGCCTAGCTCACAGCAACCTCAAACTCCTGGGCTCAAGCAATCCTTCCGCCTCAGCGTCCCAAGTAGCTGGGACTACAGGCATGCGCCACCATGCCTGGCTAATTGTTATCTATTTTTAGTATAGACGAGGTCTCACTCTTGCTCAGGCTGGTCTCGAACTCCTGGGGTCAAATGATCCACCCGCCTTGGCATCCCAGAGCACTAGGATTACAGGTGTGAGCCACCACACCCGGCCGGTTTCTGTTTTTCTAGTGAATTGCACAAAAAAATTACAGGCATCAATAAGCTGGGCTTGTGGGAGGAGAGATGGAGGGAAAGGAGGTGGTACCTTCCAGATACCCCTAAAATGATAACACCTACTTTACCCACACATGAAGCTGGTCCCACCTAGACTGTGGTGTTTAGATTGCAAGAGTCCCCAAGTCAGGATGCCTATAGCAGCCAGGCAGGTAACATAAATTGGATGGCCAGGCCGGCTGGAAGTAGAGCCTGCGGGAGAAAAGGAGAATGCATCACCTAAAAGCATTCAAGTTCAATGTCCTTAAAACACAGTGTCAGCCAAACCAAATTCACCCTTGAGCTGGATTGGGCCCATAGTTCAAGGGCTCTAACATCAATCCCCTTTCACCCACCCAGTGAGGAAGGCAGAGAAGTCCCCATTTCACTGATGTGAAAACTGAAGCCCAGGGAGGCTGAGGGATTTGTCCAAAGCCACCCAGTAAGTGCCAGATCCAGGACTCCCCCAGGGATCTCAGCTCCAAGGCCAGGAGCCGTTTGACTCTCCCCGGTCCTGATTCCCTTCTTTCACACCTGTGCATATTCTGATAGTTACTTGGGTGC